ATAAAAAGAATCATCAGAAATGGATAGATTCCTGGACACATGCAATCTACCTAAATTGAACCAGGAAGACATAGAAAACCTAAATAGACCCATAACTGAAACAGCAATTGAAACAGTAATAAAGGCCCTCCCAACAAAGAAAAGCCCAGGACCAGATGGTTTCACTACTGAATTCTACCAGACATTTAAAGAAGAACTAACTCCAATTCTTCTCAAATATTCAGAACAATCGAAAAAGATGGAATCCTCCCAAATTCTTTCTATGAAGCCAGCATCACCTTAATCCCTAAGCCAGAGAAAGATGCAGCACTGAAGGAAAATTACAGACCAATGTCCCTGATGAACATAGACACAAAAAACCTCAATAAAATTATCTCCAATAGAATACAACACATCAGAAAAATCATCCACCAGACCAATGGGATTTATCCCTGGAATGCAGGGATCGTACAACATTCGCAAATCAATCAATGTGATACACCACATTAACAAACTGCAGAAGAAAAACCATATGATTATCTCAATAGATGCAGAGAAAGCATTCGATAAAATTCAACACCCTTTCATGATGAAAACTCTAAGAAAATTGGGTATAGAAGGAACATTCCTCAATATAATCAAAGCAATTTATGAAAAACCCACAGCCAGCATCCTATTGAATGGGGAAAAGTTGGAAGCATTTCCACTGAGATCTGGCACCAGACAGGGATGCCCACTTTCACCAATGCTATTCAACATAGTTCTGGAAGTGTTAACCAGAGCCATCAGACAAGAAAAAGAAATTACAGGGATACAATTGGGAAGGAAGAAGTCAAACTATCCCTCTTTGCAGATGATATGACTCTTTATTTAGGGGATCCAAAGAACTCTACTAAGAGACTATTGGAGCTCATAGAAGAGTTGGCAAAGTAGCAGGATATAAAATCAATGCACAAAAATCAACAGCCTTTGTATACACAAGCAATGCCATGACTGAGAAAGAACTACTAAGATCAATCCCATTCACCATAGCTACAAAAACAATCAAATACCTTGGAATAAACTTAACAAAGGACGTCAAAATCTCTACAATGAGAATTACAAATCTTAAAGAAACGGAAGAGGATACCAAAAAATGGAAAAATCTTCCATGCTCATGGATTGGAAGAATCAACATCATCAAAATGTCCACTCTCCCAAAAGCAATTCACAGATTCAATGCAATCCCAATCAAGATACCAAAGACATTCTTCTCAGATCTGGAAAAATTATGCTGAAATTCATGTGGAGACAAAAGAGACCTCGAATAGCTAAAGCAATCTTGTACAACAAAAACAAAGCCGGAGGCATCACAATACCAGATGTCAGGACATACTACAGGGCAGCTGTTATCAAAACAGCATAGTACTGGTACAGAAACAGATGGATAGACCAATGGAACAGAATAGAAACACCAGAAATCAATCCAAACATCTACAGCCAACTTATATTTGATCAAGGATCCAAAACCAATCCCTGGAGCAAGGACAGTCTATTCAATAAATGGTGCTGGGAAAATTGGATTTCCACGTGCAGAAGCATGAAGCAAGACCCCTACCTTTCATCTTACACAAAAATCCACTCAACGTGGATTAAAGACCTAAATCTATGCCCCAACACCATCAAATTATTAGAGAACATTGGAGAAACCCTGCAAAATATTGGCACCGGCAAAGACTTCCTAGAAAAGACCCGGGAGGCACAGGCAGTCAAAGCCAAAATCAACTATTGGGATTGCATCAAATTGAGAAGTTTCTGTACTGCAAAAGAAACAGTCTGGAATGTGAAGAGGCAACTGACAGAATGGGAAAAAGTATTTGCAAACTATGCAACAGATAAAGTGTTGATAACCAGAATCTACAAAGAGATCAAGAAACTCCACAAAAACAAAACAAACAACCCACTTAAGAGATGGGCCAAAGACCTCAATAGACATTTTTCAAAAGAGGAAATCCAAATGGCCAACAGGCACATGAAAAAATGTTCAGGATCACTAGCAATCAGGGAAATGCAAATCAAAACCACACCAGTTAGAATGGCTCACATTCAGAAATCTACCAACAATAGATGCTGGAGAGGATGTGGGGGAAAAGGGACACTAACCCACTATTGGTGGGAATGCAAACTGGTCAAGCCACTATGGAAGTCAGTCTGGAGATTCCTCAGAAACCTGAATATAACCCTACCATTCAATCCAGCCATCCCACTCCTTGCAATTTACCCAAAGGAAATTAAATTGGCAAACAAAAAAGCTGTCTGCACCTTAATGTTTATTGCAGCTAAATTCACAATAGCTAAGGCCTGGAATCAACCCAAATGCCCATCAACAGTAGACTGGATAAAGAAATTATGGGACATGTACTCTATAGAATACTATACAGCAGTCAAAAACGATGAAATCCAGTCATTGGCAACAAGATGGAGGAATCTGGAAAACATCATGCTGAGTGAACTAAGCCAGTCCCAAAGGGACAAATATCATATGGTCTCCCTGACTGGTTACAACTAACCAAGCACCAAAAAGGAAACCTGTTGAAGTGAAATGGACACTATGAGAAACAATGACTTGATTAGCCCTTGTCCTGATTGTCAAGGAACAACTTAATACTTTATCCCTTTTAGTATTTTTTTTTGTTCTAGTTAATACTATTGGTTGAACTCTGTAATTAACACACAATTAATCTTAGGTGTTTAAATTTAACTGAAAAGTAATCCCTGTTAAATATAAGAGTGGGAATAAGAGAGGGAGGAGATGTACAATTTGGGACATGCTCAATCAGACTTGCCCCAAATGGTAGAGTTAGAAATGTGCCAGGGGATTTCAATACAATCCCATCAAGGTTGCATGTACCAATGCCATCTCACTAGTCCAAGTGATCAGTTTCTGTTCACAATTGATCATAATGATAGGTCTAAGAGTCAAAGAGATCACATAAACAAGGCTAGTGTCTGCGAATACTAACGAATAGAATCAAAGAGGGAGAGATCAATCCAACATGGGAAGCGGGATACACAGCAGACTCATGGCAGATGTCCTAAACAGCACTCTGGCCTCAGGATCAGCCCTTAATGCATTCGGATCTGGCTGAAGAGCCCATGAGAGTATTTTAGGCATGGAAAGCCAAGACACGCTGGGGGAAAAAAAATTTAAATGAAAGATCTCTGCGAGTGAGATCCCAGTAGAAAGAACGGGCCATCAAAAAAGGAGGTATCTTTCTCTGAAGGGAGGAGAGAACTTCCACTTTGACTATGACCTTGTATAAATAAGATCAAAGTCGGTGAAGTCAAAAGCCCTCCATAGCCTTGGCAACTCATGACATGAGCCTGGGGTGATTACTGACGCCATAAATAAGAGTGTCAATTTGTTAAGTCAACAACAGGAGTCACTGTGCACTTACTCCTCATGTAGGATCCCTGTCCTTAATGTGTTGTTCAATGTGAAGTAATGCTGTAACTAGTACTGAAACAGTATTTTACACTTTGTGTTTCTGTGTGGGTGCAAACTGATGAAATCTTTACTTAATATATACTAAATTGATCTTCTATATATAAAGATAATTGAAAATGAATCTTGATGTGAATAGAATGGGAGAGGGAGCTGGAGATGGGAGGGTTGCAGGTGGGAGGGAAGTTAATGGGGAGAAAAAGCCATTGTAATCCATAAACTGTACTTTGGAAATTTATATTTACTAAATAAAAGTTAAAAAAAAATAAAATTCTTTTATTGAAAAAAAAAAACCCTAAATAAAGACAATATCAAAACACTCATATCCCCTGAATTCCTGCAGTCACCAGGACACCCGCAAACACACCACGCTTCCAGATACCCCCCCCCTCTCACGTGGTCAAATAAGAAAAGTTACATCCTCAAACACACACTGACCTCCAACGCCCACGAATACACACACATCCGGTGGACATTAAACGGCACTGGAGTAACATGCGCAGCACGCAAGTTACCACCGCACGACGGACAACGGCCTTTACTAAAAACTGCACGCACGCATGTGATTCTCACACAGCGCCTTCGTGGAAAGATGTTCGCCGAAGTCCTGCATCTTCCGCCAACCTAGGCTGGCAAGGCGACCACGATTCACCAACCCTACCCTGGCAACGCAGGTTTCTCAAGTCCCGAGGAAGTCCGCCCAGCCTCTGCCTTGCTCAGAGCGCTAGCGACACCGACGGGACACTCCGAGGGTCCCCTGGGAATGAGGGCCCCCTCACGTCCCGTCAGGCATCGCGGAGCACGGGGAGCGCCCGGGGCCGCGCGGGCCCACGTCCACGGTGCAAACGCGCGCGCCCACGGAGGGCGCCGGGCCGCACAGGGCAGCGTCTCCGCGCAGACCGAGGGTGCGAGCGCCCCAGGGCCTAGGGGACGCGCGGTAACTGCTCGGGACCTGGTATCCTTGACCTCCTTGTGGGTAAGGGGCGCTCAACGCCGCCGAGAGCGCGAACCCACGCTCCCCTCGCGCCTGCGCATCCCCTGAGCCCCAACGCCGCAAGGGACGCTGGGAGACGTTAGAGGAGACCGCGTCCGCGCCGAAGCCGCCCCACCACCACCACCGCCAGGACGTGCGCATGTGCGCGGGGTGTGCTAGGAAGTTGTGTGAGGGCCTACAGCCGACAGGACGAGTCCTCCTGGAATCGCCATGACCGTCCCTCCGTTAACTAGCGCGTCTGAAACGACCCCAGATGGTTTGGAAGAGGGCAGACGTCCACCCAGGCACGCGCACCCCAGGGAAGGGCTCTTCCCAGGGCTGCACCCTAGAGCGCGGTCCCCTGCACTGGGGTCAGCGCTTGCAGCCTCTCCAGACTGCAGGTCTCCCAGGCTTGTCCACGCCTCCCACAAACGCTGCCTCCTTTCTTCCCAGTCCGCCTGGGTTCCATGGAAGAACAGTCTGGCCAAGAATTTTAGACCTGAAACACTGAGGGACTCGGGCTCCTGGCTCCGTTCTTAGTTATTCCTAAGGCATTTAATGTACTTGGGAAATTTAATACACAGGTTTTTAAATATCAATTTGCAAATGTTTTCGTTAATAATTTGTTACTCCCATGTGTAAAACTTGACAATTTGAGCCGCTTAATGTCTATGTACCAGGTAGTATAGAAATTTTACAACAATCAGTTAAGTGTGTGAGTGAAAACAATGGCCTCATCAACCCTGCAATATTAAATTATTGCTTGAATCCCATATAAGTTTGCCCTGTGATGAAAATTTAAGTCTTTGAGAAGAGTCTCAAAGTCGTTTGTTTCTTTTAGGTACATGTCTAGCTGTTTTTTATTTCTAGTCCCACGATCTTCCTTCAATTGCTCTCATTTAGTCCACTGAACATCTTGGTAGAGCTGTTCCGAGTGCCTTGCAGACAGAATAAAAACACTGTTGCACATAAACCTGAGGTCTGAAGCTCCTTTCCGCTGGTTTGCTCCCCAGGTCACCTCAAAGACCAGGCATAGGCCAAGCCAAAGCTGAGGGTTGGGAGCTGGGAACCTGGAATTCATTTCCGGTCTCCCCAGTAGGTGGCATGAACCTAGCTACGAGCATCATGTGCTGTCTCCAGGGTGCACGTTCGCAGAAAGCTGGGAGAAGAGCCAGTTATCACAGGCAGTTCCTCCAATTCAGAACGGGGACATGTTGCCCACTAGACCCAGTGCCTTCCCTAGAATATGTGGGATTTTTATGAGTGATAGAGCCTCTTGCCCTAAGTATCTAGCCTACAGGAGAGAGAAAGCAACCAGACGAGTGATACCTTCATTCTGAGCATCAGTAAAATTAATGGTTTACCTGAAACTGAAAGCATTTTCAAAAAAAATTGAATATAAACTTTAAGTTAATGATGTACACATCACAAGAAGTTCCTCTGGAAAGGAAAATGGTGGCTGTTTCATGGGAAGAAGCCTGTTTCTACATACTCCATTCAAGTTTTGAAATATACAAAATTTTTTCATGTTACAATATTAATGAAAAGCATTTAAAAAAGAAAAATTATACATTTAACAACAAACACTGTCAGCACCAAAAAAAGGGGTGGTGGGGATTTCTGGGTCAGTCTGTATGCTTTAATATCATTCTTTGATGCACTGTGGCTTTCCATCAAAGGGGATCAAAGGTCAGATTTTCCTCTGGAGAATGCAGATTTCAGCAGAGGACAGTATCTGGGGATATAGGACCTATTTGTGGATACAAGAAGTATTTGGGGATAATAAGGCTTCATTCAGCACCCACATGGGAGACCAGGAGAAGCACCTGGCTGCTGGCTTCGGATCAGCACAGTGCGCCGGCCGCAGTGGCCATTGGCGGGTGAACCAACGGTAAAGGAAGACCTTTCTGTCTCTCTCTCACTGTCCACTCTGCCTGTCAAAAAAAAAAAAAAAGACTTCATTCAGGATGAGTGCACATGCTGCAATCCATCACTGATCTGCTGATACTCTGACCACCTTATCTCCCTAAGCATGTTATGAATTTGTAATTCAATGAGAAAGTACAGCCAGCGTTCAATTTAGTTGAGAGCCTATTTCCACAGGTGGGAAGCAGGCTGGGCAAGGTTTATTGACACGGAATGGAAGTAAAGGCAGTGCCAAGTACAGTCTTAGTGCTAGAAATCAGAGAAACAATTTAACATTGCCTAAACGAGCTATGCTGCCACTGTACAATTTCAAGAGAACTTAAGATTGGCTATGGCCCACGAGCCAGAACCCTCATGGAATGTCCACCAAATCCCCTCTTCTGCTGCCCCTTCCTGACCAGAGAAGCCTGAGCCCCACATTCCACTCCTGCCATTGGACCCTGAGCCTCCAGCTCAGGGTCTGGGTCCTGAACTTGAGTTTCCTCGTTGTGGATGCTGCCAGCCAGCTGTGGCGAGTGCCCAACCTGCAGAGGTGGCATCAGAACAAGTAAGTCTGTAGGGGTGGGGGTCTGTAATAAGACTCCCTGCTCTTCCTCTGATCACCGGAAACTCACATTTGACATCTCCCCTAGGGAAACTGATTGGCCTGAAGTAGAGGGAAGACAGAGCCCTGCAGATCCACAGGACATCTTATCTGGGGCGGCTCTGGAAGCCCATGTTGCATGGACGCTGCTTAGAGGAAGGGTCCCTACAGGTGGAGCAAGATGCTCCGGGGAGAATGTACTGATCAGAAGAGACGGAGCACATGGGTTGGAACTTTCTAAATGGAGGAGACAGGTCACCTCACCCTGGGTTTGTGGAGAAGAGAGGACAGACAGGATTCTGGTGGAGGCAGAGAGAGGACCTAAGCTGGTCCTTACTCCAGCTGCATGGACCATCCCCTTGAAGTGGTTCAGAGGGTGTTGACCTGGGTGTCCTAGATATTAGGAAGCTGTGAGAACATGGGCTTAGCTGGGAAGCTGATTGGTGGGAGCGCTTCACTCTCACCCACTCTGCAGTGACATAGCCTCAGAAATGAGGCTGCGGATTCCCCCACTTCCATGGTCCAGAGCCTCCCAGCTCCTCCCTGCCCAGTGCTGGTTCCTTTCAGTGCAGGAGACGTCTGGATCCACCAGAGACAACGGCTGTCGGTTTATGTCAGCAAATATAGGGTTTGACTTCCAAAACTTGGATTGCACTGTTCTCCCTGTGGTGGAAACACAGTTCCTTCGTTCACATCATCCTCTTTACATCTCATAGTGGGAGCCTCTGCCCAGGATTTGCCATAAAGATGAAGGTGGCACAGATACTCACATCCTCACATCACAAGCAGGCACAGCTGGGCAGCGTGATTGGTTTTCCAGAGGAAATTTCAGTGATTGCTGTTTTTCCGACTTCCTTTATTTTTATAAAACATTTTATTTATTTGATTGGCAGAGTGACAGAGACGGAGAGACAGAACAAAGAGTGAGTTTGAGATAGAAAGAGAGATCTTCCATCCATGGGTTCATTCCCCAATTACTTGAGATAATCAGTGCTGGGGTAAATCAAAGCCACCATCAACTACTAGGGACCCATCATGGATGACAGGAATCCAAGTACTTAGGCTGCCTCCCAGGCACATTAGCAGGAAGATGGATCACGAGAACAGTGTAGCCAGTACTCAAACCAGCTGCAATATGGAGTGTAGCATCCAGAGTTACAGCTCAACTGGCTGTGCCTCAAAAATCACCCCTGTTTTCATAGTAAAGTAAGGAAGGAGAGTAGCAATTAGGAAGGTTATTTTTATACGTGAGGACACAGATCTTGATCCTTAGACACATGTGCCCTGTGCCTTGTTGTCATTAACTGGGCTCTGTGTGGTTCCTAGATAGGGATGTGTGCCAGGACACTTTGTCCCATGCTCCCTGGCTCACGCCTGCTGCTTCCTGGGCCTTCACTTGCCATCACTGACAACACAAAGAAGGATACCAGAGAGTTTACATTTCCTTCAACCAATTCTTTTTTTTTTTTAGATTTATTTTATTTATTTGAAAGACTGAGTTACAGAGAGAGGGAGAGAGGTAGATCCAGGAAGAGGAAGAGAGAGAGAGAGAGAGAGAGAGAGAGAGAGAGAGAGAGAGAGAGAGATGTATTCCATCCACTGGTTCACTCCTCCAAATGACCGCAACGGCCAGAGCTGAGTTGATCCGAAGCCAGGAGCCAGGAGCTTCTTCCAGGTCTCCCATGCAGGTTCAGGGGCCCAAGGACTTGGGCCATCTTCCACTGCTTTCCCAGGCCACAGCAGAGAGCTGGATCAGAAGTGGAGCAGCTGGGATTCAAACCCACACCCTTATGGGATGCCAGTGCTGCAGGCCGGGGCTTTAACCTGCTGCACCACAATACCGGCCCCTCAACCAATTCTGATCTGACCTATTAGCAATGTTGAAGGTCCTAGACACCTCCCCTGGCAGGTAACATTCCCTGGTCATTCTAACCCTAAGCAGGCATCAGTGACTTGCAAGGACAGGACTTCAGGATCCCAACATCTACTTACCAGTCTTGTTTCTGGGGAACATAGCTTCTGGAGTGGCCACAGAACCACAAGTCCCTGCAATCAAGGGTAGCCAGTATATGCTCCCCATGGTTTTAGCAGTGCCCTGAGAAGTCCTGCCCACTGAGTGGGATGAATTACAGCAATATCCTGAAGGCTTTCAGGACTATGGCTGAGGAGAGCTTTTTTTCCAGACCTTTGTTTTCTTCTGCTAGGGTTCTCTATGAAAAGTGTCAGTTAAAGAAGCCTGAGGTGTGGTCTGGATACAGTGTTGTGAACCTGCTGGTTTTATCTAGGCCAGTTGGGCATTTGGCCTGTTAGCTTTACAAGTCTGCTAGCCTCCTACTGAGTACTGAGGAGCACATGGCTCCAAGTCATCAGTCCTGATCAAGGACTAGGGAGATGCCTATGATGCTACCCAGGTGACTTCAGTGACACCCTGGGGAGACTCTAGAGGCAGTGAGAGCTGAGTGTTTCAATCTCTAGTTGAGAACTGGTGAACTTGGAGGATAGCCTCTGGTGAAGACTTCTCAACTAGAGGAACAGAGCCTGAAGTTCACACAGAGTCATTTGCAAACTGCCACACTGCCCCGTCCAAGTGCCCTCAGCTGTTGAGATGCTCCTGTCTTCCCCCAGTGACAACAGGGAACAAGAGCCCTCCCCCCTAACTGCAGGTTCCCCTACTCCATTCACTCCTTTCCTTTGTCTCCACAGCATCTCCAGGGCTGGGAACAGTTACGTATCAGTAGTCAGCCTGAATGTAAATGGCCTCAACTCTCCAGTGAAAGACACAGAATGGCTGAATGGATTGAAAAACAAAACCCCTCTATTTGCTGCCTATAAGAAACACATCTCACCAACAAAGATACATGCCAACTAAAAGTGAAAGGATTTAAAAAGATATTCGATGTTAACAGAAACTAAAAATGAGCTGGAGTAGCCATGCTAATAGGAGACAAAAGACTTTAACACAAAAACTGTTAAAAGAGACAAAGAAGGGCATTATGTAATGATTAAGGGTTCAATTCAACAGGAAGATGTAACTATTATAAATGTATATGCACCTAATTACAGGGCACCTGCCTATTTAAAATAAATGTTAAAGGATCTAAAGAAAGACATAGACTCCAATACAATAGTAATGGGGACTTCAATATCCCACTTTCAGCAATGGACGGATCTACCAGAAAGAAAATCAGCAAGGAAACAGCAGATTTAAATTACACTATAGACCAAAAGGACCTAACAGATATCTACAGAACTTTTCATCCTACAGTTGCAAAATACACATTCTTCTCAGCAGTGCAAGGGCTTTATCTAGGATTGACCACATACTAGGCCATACACCAAGTCACATCAAATTCAAAAATCAAAATCATACCTTGGATCTTCTCAGACCACAATGGAGTGAAGCTAGAAATCAGTAACTCAGGAATCTCTAGAACATATGAAAATACATGAAGACTGAACAACATGCTCCTGAATGAACAGTGGGTCACAGAAGAAATTGAAAGAGAAATCAAAAGATTTCTGGAAATAAATGAAGACAACAACACAACATATCAAAACATATGGGATACAGCAAAAGCAGTGTTAAGAGGAAAGTGTATAGCAATTAGTGCCTACATCAAGAAATTAGAAAAGCACCAAGTAAATGAGCTATCAATGCATCTCAAAGATCTAGAAAAACTACAGAAACTGCAGCAAACCAAACCCAAAACAAGCAGAAGAATAGAAATAATTAAATTTAGAGAAGAAATCAACAAAATCGAATAAAAAAAACAATACAAAAGATCAACAAAATGAAGAGCTGGTTTTTTGAAAAGATAAGCAGAATTGACACATCATTTGCCCAACTAACCAAAAAATTAATAATCTCAATAAAATTAGAGATGAAAAAGGAGAATGTAACAACAGAAACCACAGAAATAAAAAGAATTATCTGAAATTACTACAAAGAGCTGCATGCCAACAAACTTGGAAACCTAAAAGAAATGGTGAGATTCCTGGACACATACAACCTACTTAAATTGAGCCATAAAATACAGATAACCTAAACAGACCCATAACCAAGATGGAAACTGAATCAGTAATAAAGTCCATCACCACAAAGAAAAGCCCAGGACTGGATGGCTTCATTGCTGAATTCTACCAGACATTTAAAGAACTAACTCTAATTCTTCTCAAGTTATTCAAAACAATTGAAAGGGAAGGCATCCTCACAAATTCTTTTTATAAAGCCAGCATCATCTTAATTCCTAAACCTGAAAAAGATGAAACAAAGAAAGAGAATTACAGGCCAATTTCCCTTAAGAACATAGATGCAAAAATCCTCAACAAAATTCTATCCAACCAAATCCAACAACACATCAGAAAGATCATCCACCTGGACCAAGTGGGAATTATTTATACCTGGTATGCAAGGATGGTTCAATATTCACAAATCAATCAACACGATACATCACATTAACAAACTGCTCAACAAAAATCATATGATTATCTCAATAGATGGAAAGAAAGCATTTGATAAAATACAACACCCTGGCCAGCACTGCAGCTCAATAGGATAATCCTCCACCTGCGGCACCAGCACACTGGGTTCTAGTCCCAGTTGGTCATAGATTTAGATATTTAATCCATGTTGAGTGGATTTTTGTGTAAGGTTTAAGGTAGTGTTCTTGATTAATACTTATGCATGTGGAAATCTAGTTTTCCCAGCACCATTTGTTGAAGAGACTGCCCTTGCTACAGGGATTGGTTTAGCTTTGGTCAAATATAAGTTGGTTGTAGATCTCAGTAGCCTAGTGAGCCGTGGCACTGGCCGAAAATGAATCTTAAGAATGGGACTGGCAAGGGAAGAGGCAGGAGGAGGAGGGGTGGGAGTGTGGGTGGGAGGGTGCGTATGGTGGGAAGAATAACTATATTCCTAAAGTTCTATGAAATTTGTATTCCAGGGCCAGCACTGTGGCTTAGCAAGTAAAACTACAGCCTGCAGTGTCAACATCCCATATGGGCACCAGTTCGGGTTCTGGCTGCTACACTTCTGATCCAGCTCTGTGATATGGCCTGGAAAGCAGTAGAAGATGGCTCAAGTCATTGGGCGCCTGAACCCATGTGGGAGACCTGGAAGAAAAGCTCCTGGCTCCTGACTCCTGGCTTCAGATTGGCACAGCTCCAGCCATTGCAACCAACTGGGGAGTGAACCAGCAGATGGAAGACCTCTCTCTCCTCTCTCCTCTCCCTCTCTCTCCCTCTCCCCCCCCCTCTCTCTGTCGCTCCCCCTCTTCGCGGAGGAACGACACTAGACCCTGCGCTGTTCTTTCGTCTGCTCGGCCCTTCCCGGGTTTGCTGCTGGTCCTTCCCGGGTTGGCTGCCAATCCTTCCACCTCCGTGGAAAGGGCGGCTCCCCCTGCCACTTTCCCCACTTCCGCGGGGGAGCGGCACACTGCCGGCCGGCTCTCTCGGGGGCTGCTCAGATGTTATCCGGATGTTCCCTTTAGATGTTCCTCGTGCATGTTGTCTCTTTCCTCCTTTATAGTCCTCTTCCACCAATCCCAACTTTGCTACCCACACGCCGAGTATGCTGCTCTCCTCCAATCAGGAGCAGGATCAGCTCCTGCAGTTTATTGGTTGAACTGGAGGCAGCTGCGTAGAAGCTGTTTCCTCCTCTCCCAGCACCATATTGTGGGAGAGCAGATGCATAGAATAAGTCTTAATTCGAGTAACTTAGTCTAGTCCGAGTTGCTCCCCACATATCTCTCTCTCTCTCTCTCTCTCTCTCTCTCTCTCTCTCCTCTCTGTGTAACTCTTTCAATTAAAATAAAATAAAACTTTAAAAAATCTGTATTCCTTAAAAAATAAATTAAAAATATTTTAATAAAAAAGAAAGTGATGCCCACCTCCAGCCATGCATTGTGTGGATACCAGAGGCAGGAACTGTACTGCCTGTATCCAAGACAGGAGGAATTAAGTCCATGGGAGGATGATGATGAAAGACATTGACAGCATATCACACTTCTGCAGATATGGGCTCTGGTGAGAAAAGTTATGAGACTTGACTCAAGACCATACCTCTGAGCACTGCTGGCCTTCACCTCTGCTCTTTGCCTGGGCTCAAGGCCTCCTCCATTTGGTTCCAGCCCACATTCCAGCCCCCATGTCCATCTGCCAGTCCTTCAGTCCCAGGCCAGGTTCCTAGTCCTCATGACATGATCCTAGACCCCAGTTGTGCTCAATCACTTTGTGTCCCAGGTACTTCCCTCCCACCTGGCTCCACTGGAACCCAGCCCTCCCTTCACCAAACCTTAAAAGCGCTGCTTCTATGCTTTGAGGTAGCCTTTGACCCCCTGCACTATAGACCCTGAGTGCTACATCTCACTCCCGCTGAAGGACTAGGTGCTCCAGTGGCAGGCAGCATCTATGAATGCAAAGTTGTAGCTTTCTACACAATGGGGCCTCTTAGTGTCCCCCCACACTCCTGTCCTCCTCCTGGGAGCCCACACTTGAAAGTCTTCCTGTGAAGTCCAGTTTGCTGACCCAAGTGTTGAGGATCAGGAATGCTCAGAAGAAGGGCAAGGCAGCTATTTTATTTGACTTAATTTGATTTTGCCAAGCTTGGTTTGGGGGTGGGCAGAAAAGCCAAAGGGCAAGAAACGATTTAGAGAAACAGGTGGTTGCAAGCACAGACTGGTACATGGCATGAAAGAAGGTGCTGAATGCCCCCAGGTCACATCAAGGCTTTCTGGGAGGCCCTGAGGATAAATGACAGCAGAAGCCAGGTCTGTGCAGCCCTGAGGGCTGTGTAGGGTCCAGGTGAACCAGCTGCCCTCACAGGCAAGGAAGAGTAGGTGTAGGATGGAGTAGATGCTGGGTCTGGGGAAGATGTGAGCCGTTTGATCCCGTTAATCCAGTCGACAAAGTAGGAGACCCTGGTGAAGACGCTGGGGTAGACAGGGTGCCGGCAGTCCAGACCCCAGCTGGCCAGTCCCACCAGCACCCAGGTGTTGGGAAGGTGGCAAACAAGGGGGCCCCCAGAATCACCCTGTGGAAAGAGAAGGGAGGTATCACTGGGGACTGAGCAGATTGGAGAAACCATGTGACAAGATCTGGGGATCTGTGACTGTCCCTCCACTGCAGGGCTCAATTGCAGCCACATCAGACCAGACTCAAAGGTGGGACTTTGGATTCAAACACCAACAAGCTCCTGAGCTGACCTTGATGGTGGCTGATCCCACATTTGAATCTATCAGCGGTTTTCTCCACCCACACTCTGCATGCCCACCGAGGACACTGCCAGAGGTCTGGAGGGATTGTTGTATGTACAGAGCCCGAGAGGAGGTGAGTGTGTGAGCACAGTGGCCAGCAACCGCCTCTGTACAAGGCCTAGATACTATAAACATGAGCTCCCTCCACCCAGGTCCCTTTCCTTTCTTGCTCTCTGGGCCTGCAGTGCTCCCTCAGCCTCTTAGCTGTGGATCTTTAGAAAACCCCTATGCCCAGGCCAGGTGCAGACAACCCACATCAGTGTGAAGGATCTCTAGAAAGCTGCTGTGGGGCACTGGAGTCATGAAATTCTGCCTGGGCAGGGTCATCTCATCAGAAGCCCTATTTCCTGGGCCAAAAGTAGGGCCAAAGAAAAGGTTTGCCCTCAGGATGGACAGCAGGGCTATGGCCAGACCATCTGTCCTTCTTTCCATTGTGCAGGTTGAACATTGGATCCTGGTGACAGATGCTGTTCTTGGGAAACTCAGGTAGACAGGAAAAGCACCTGCCCCAGGGCACTTACACCAACCAAGGAGCAGAACTTTTATATCAATGGTCACAGAAAGTCTCCCCAGCCACAACAGGAAAAAGGAAGCAGAACTGGACTGTGCCAGACCCATGGAAAGAGGATGCAGTTGGCACAAACAAGAAGGGAAAGGGAGGGGTGCACCAAGAAGGAGGGGGCCACTGAAGACCAGAGGCTTCCTACAGGTCAGTCCGACACTAGGCATGGGAAACCCAGCTGGTAGGCACCAGGTAGGTGTCGCTCCCTGTCTTCGTGGAGGAACGACACAGGACCCTGCGCTGTTCTTTTGTCTGCTCGGCCCTCCCCGGGTTTGCTGCTGGTTCTTCCCGGGTTGGCTGACATCCCTTCCACCTCCGTGGAAGGGCGGTTCCCCCTGGCCACTTTCCCCACTTCCGCAGGGGAGCGGCACACCGCCAGCCGGCTCTCTCGGGGGCTGCACAGGTGTTCCTTCAGATAGATGTTCCTGGTGCATGTTGTCTCTCTCCTCCTTTATAGTCCTCTTCCACCAATCCCAACTCTGCTACCCACACGCCGAGTACGCTGCTCTCCTCCAATCAGGAGTAAGTCCTACAGTTTATTGGTTGAACTGGAGGCAGCTGTGTAGAAGCTGCTTCTCCCTTCTCAGCGCCATATTGTGGGAGAGCAGATGCATAGAATAAGTCTTAATTCCAGTAACTTAGTCTAGTCCGAGTTGCTCCCCACAGGTAGGGATGAGACCAATCAGACACCGGCACAGAGGAAAAGGTTAAGAGGCCATTGACAGGGAGAGAAAAGGGACACTGTGGTCACTTGATGGCCACCGCACTGTCCTCTTCCCCATCCCTGGGATTTGTGAATACACCACCTCGTGTGGGAGAAGAGACTCTGCACGTGGGATGGGGCCAAGGATTTTGAAAGCAGACAATGACCCTGGAGTAGGATGATGGGACCCATTCAACCCCATCATTGTTATTTGGGAAACAGGAAGGCAGGGGCTCGGAGGCAGAAAAGATATGAGAGCAGAAGCAGAGGCTGGATGGACGTGCTTTGAGAACAGAGGAAGGGGCTGTGGGGCAGGGCACGCAGCTGCCCTGAGGAGCTGGACAAGGCGGGAAGCAGAATCCCCACGACAGCCTCACTAGGAACAAGGGTGCCCACACCTCGATTTTGAACTTTGGCCTCCAGACCTGTAAGTCACTCAGTGTCAGCTGCTTCAGCCTCCAGGTCTGTGGTGACTTGTTACTGCGTGTGGGGGAATTCACACTCAGAGTCCTGCAAGTGGGACTGAGTCTTGGCTGCCCCTGCTGCTTTCCTCGGTGGCTCCCCTACCCTGAGTGCCCTAGCCCTCCTCACACGGTGCCACCACCCAGCTGTGAGGGCAGCGGGAGGCCTGACTGCACAGTGGTCACGGTCTGCTGTCTACTCCAGTCCTCGGCAACTAATGCATAGGAACCACTTGGTCACAAACACCACACTGGATTCTGGGCCAGTGGCAGAAGCACTGAAGGGAAACTCCTCAAGGCCACTGAGGAGCTCCAAGAAGACAGAGGAAGTCTCAATTCTCAGGACCCCATGCAGAGGGAGATTTGTTTGCATTAATGTAGACATAGGAAACTGTGTGTGTGTGTGTGTGTGTGTGTATGTGTGTGTGTGTGTGAAAGAGAGAGAGAGCACAAGCAATGGGTCATCACCGTGATTCCCACTATGGGTACAGGGACAGGTCTGAGACAGGCACTAAGAACAAGTGCAGCTCAGACACGGGGAGATGGACAAGATCTGGAACTGGAGCGCCAACACTTGTTAAGCAATGTGCTTACTTTTCTGTAGGAACCTTAAGACGTGGAGGCTGGAAGCAAGCCCATTTCCAGGTGAGGAAACGTGGCTAAGGTCACAGTGCAGGCGGATGACCAGTTACAGACTGCAGCCAGGCCTGTCCTGGCCCACAGTGTGAGCACTGAGTCACCCCACAGCACGTCTCTCCTCAGAGCTGTTTGGCACTCTGGGTAGGGCGGGTGCAATTTAGGGCAGAGCAGGGAGCCCTGGGGAGGAGGTGGGGACCAGGTCAGGCAGGGGAGGAATCCTGAGGGTTCTCAGAGACAGGCAGTGGTGACGGATGGGGTAAATAAAGAAGGAGGGAGGGCAGGGGTGTTTGCCTGGACTCTCAGGAGTCCAGCTCAGCGGTTTCCCTGGCCTAGGGAAGGAACAACAGGAGGGGAGGGTTGTGGGTGCATGACGGTGTGCCCATCAGGTGCACAGTCAAGGGCACTGGCCCTGAGACACCACGACATGGCCTTTTCAGGAGAAGGCAGGTGCAGGGCCACGCTGGAGAGGAGGTCCAGGCCCTAGCACTGCACTCAGCAGGCCCCTTGCTCTACCTGTGGGTGAAGCAGACTCTCAGGAGGTGGGCCAGGTGAGACAGCCTGAAAGAAGCAATGAGGGGGCACTGTGGTGTAGCAGGTAAAGCCATCACCTGCAGCGCTGGCATCCAGTATGGGCACTGGTTCAAGTCCCAGCTGCTCCACTTCCTATCCAGTTCTCTAATATGGCCTGGGAAAGCAGCAGAAGATGGCCCAAATTCTTGGGCCCCTGCACCTGCGTGGGAGACCTGGAAGAGGCTCCTGGCTCCTGGTTTCAGATTGGCACAGCTCTGGCCATTGCAGCCAATTGGGAAGTGAACCAGCGGATGGAAGACCTCTCTTTGTGTGTGTGTGTGTGTGTGTGTGTGTGTGTGTAACTCTTTCAAGTAAAATAAATAAATCTTTTTAAAAAAGAAGAAGAAGAAGAAGAAGAAGCAATGAGGGGTGTAGGGACATGGAATCAACAGACCTGGAACCTCCTCCCACCAGGAGGGGCAGGGAGCTGAGGGCTCCCCTTCCAGCTCATCCCCTTCACTGAACAAAAATGAGAACTGAATTGCCAATGAGCCATTCCCACTGCCAGGGTGACTCAGTGCTCAGAACGGGGCAAGAAACCCCAGCCTCTAGGTTTCAATCTGTCATTCTGCTAACATGATGATCTTAGCTAAGTGTATTCAGTTTCAAAACCCTGTCAAAATTAGGTGCTATGAACTAGGTGATTTGGAAATAAGAGAAACTGCTTCTCATGGCTCTGGAAGCTGGAAGTGAAAACATCGAGGTGTTGTCAATGTCGTGCTGCCTCTGAAGGCTACTGGAGGACCTCCCCCACCTCTTCCTGCTTCTCTTGATCTTTGATGTTTCCTGGCTTCTAGCTGCATCACTCCAACCTCTGCCCATGTCTCCATGTGTGCCTCTATGGATGCTCTTTTATTTTTTAATTGCTGTATTTATATTGATGTGAAAGGCAGAGAGGGAGAGGGAGAGAGACAGAGACAGAGAATGACAGAAAGACATCTTCCATCCATTGGTTCACTCCCCTAAAACTCTAGAAAACTAGGGATGGGCCAGGCTGAAGGTAGATTATGGGAACTGAATCTGGGTCTCTCACATGAGCGGCACGGACTCAACTACTTCAGCCATCACTGCTGCCTCTCAGGGCACACATTAACAGGAAGCTGGAATGACAATCAAACCTAGGCACTCTGATATGGGATGTGGGCACCCCAAGTGACCTCGTAACCAGTGTATGATGTGCCTGCCCCTGCCCTCTCTTCCCATAAGGGCTTCAGTCATTGAACTTAGGGGCCACAATAAAGGTGGTTTTGTCCTGAGATTCTTGATGAAATACTTCTATGAAGACCCAGTTTTCAAATGAGGTCGCATTCTGAGGTTCTCAGTGGACCCACCACAAGATCCTTTCAACAACCATGTGAGGGAGGCTCCAGAATCCCCCACTACAGAAGACAATGCCAGCTCGGAAGACCACGAGAACCCACAGTGCAAGCCCAGGGGACAGAATACAGTCTTTGATCCCAGGCCCCTAAGATTTCTCCACACACACTGCCATGTATAGAACAGCTCAGGAGACTGGACCACATGGTCACCATAGCTGGGCCCAGACTGTAGCACTCGCTTCTGCCTACTCACTTTCTGTCTCTGGGCCTTAGTTTTTACAGACAGCCCATACATCTAACAGTGGAGTTATATCCAGAAAACACAAAGAGCTGCCACAAGAAAAATCAGATAACTCCTTGGAAAAATAAGAGCTTTAGAAAAATCTGGAAGGGAAATTTCACAGAAGACATCCAATGAAAATAAAGTTTATTAGTCATCAGGAAAATGCAAGTTAAAATCGTAAATTATCATATACTCCCAAAAATGGCCAAAATGAGAAAAGATGGAAAATGCCAAGTGTTGGAGAACACACGGCCTCTCGTTCAGGGCTGTGTGCTAAGCTGAGAGGAAGGCAAACACACACCCCTTTCCATCCAGCAAGGCTTTCTCATGGCCGAATAGGAAATGCACCATGGAAGAAACAACGCTCATCTGTGCTACAAAGACAAATACAAAATGTGCATAGCTCTGCTGCTCAAAATATGGCCAACTTAAAGACTATTCAAATAGCCCCCAAGCATGGAAGTGGTCATAGAATTCATTCTCACAGCAGCACACAATCGAGCAATGAGAATGAATGCATCATAACCATATGTACGTCATGTGGGAATCTCACAAATGTAACATTAAGACACAAGAGTGCCAGCTGTACATTCCATTGCTATGAAGTAGGATCTAACTGGAGGTGTTTGAAGTGATATTGGTGGATACCCTTGAACATCAAGACAATAGGTTATGAAGTGGGGCTTCTGGGGGTGCTGGCAACACGTTTTGTGAGTGTGGGAAAGGTTATCAAACTACACACTTACAAACCACATATTCGTTTTGTTATGTCATACTTCCATAAGAAGTTTAAAATCTGCCATGAAAATGGATGCTGTTTGCGGGAACTTCCAGCAGGTGCGCTCTTGCTGGGATGAGCCCAGGAAGGGGTTACTCGGGGGGGAAACCGCTGAGGAATGGAGCCCGAGGAAGACATGCAGAGGGAAGGAAACTTGGAGGGCAGGGGTCCTCACAAGGAGAGCAGATGAAACAGAGACCCCTCGGGGAAGAACAGAAGGGGCCTTACTCACACGGCAGATGGACTTTGCTGTCGAGGAGTTCCCCACGCAGACCATCTCTTCATGTATGTAGTACTTGTCTGAGTCAGTTCTCTGCCCATAGAGTAAGTTACATAACCTGTTCTCAAGGAGGCCCACCTCACTCTCCTGGAGATTGAAAGGAGGTGAAAGACGCTCTGCCGAGATAAGAAGATCAAAAAAAAAAAAGCACAGGCGGTCAGTGACGTGTGCTGAGGCTTCACCAAGTCACCCTGACCTACCCTCCTCTGAGCCACACCCTTTCCGACTGCTCACCGTGACCCTCACACAGGGATCTCCTCATAACATTGCTTAAAAACCGCCTCACTCTCCCACCCATCCTTGAAGCTCTTCTCCTATCTCTCTAACCTTTCCAGCGTCTCATCCAATTCCCTTCCCCTCTCTTAACACCTCCTCTAAATCCCACCACACACGGCCCATTCAGTGAGGATTAGCAACCATTCACTGACCCACTCATCCTCTCATCAATCACCCAATTCCTTCCCCATCCAATGCTAACCTTTCTTCCACCTCTTCATCCACCATCAGCCCCCACCCTCTCATTTACACCTCCAACCATTGACATATCCATCTTCTTTCACATCACCAGTTATTCTCTTATGCTTCCATCCATGTGCCTGTCCATACAACCTTGCATCAATTTCTCCATCACTCACCCACCAATCTGCCCCTCCACCAGTCAACACATCCAACCATACTACCCATCCATCCACTCACCCATCCTTTTATCCATACCTCTTCCCACCAAAACCTCACACATACACACACACATACGTGACCCACCTCTCCACTCACTCAATCATCTATTCATCTATCCACATGAGAAGCATCTTTGGGGCACTAATGATAGACGGGAACATTTTTAGGTCAGACAGTAAGCATGTAAAACATACATTGTATTATTTTACATCTATTAAGTGGTATGAAGAAAATAAAATGTGGAGATGTGATAACTGGAGATACTCATTTTAGCTCAAGGATTAACAAAAACCCCTCAGCAGAGGATCTGGATTATAAAATAAAGAAGAAACTAATTCTGCAAACATTGGAGGAGAGGGAAAGTTAGGCCAGTAAAGCAACAAAGCTGGAGACACTGAGATGGGAATGGGGTTGGCATATTGATGAAACAAGAGGGCCCTGTGACAGGGATGGGGTGCAAGAGGGGTGTGATAGGAGAGGATGGATCAGGGTGCTGACAGCATGCAAGGCTTACAGCCAACGTAGGAAGTGTGGGTTTTATTCTAAGTGTAAATGAGAAGGTAGTGGAGAGTAGGGAACAGGGAACAATGGGGACTTCTGTTTGAAAAGTAAGACTCTGTTACATCTGTGTGGATGCTGAGAGACTGGTCCAGGAGCTGCAAGCCAGAAATGATGGACTACCCTGGCAGGGAGGTAGCAGTCAGAGGAGTACCTACATGGTTCCACAGCCCTGGGTGAGGACTGGGATATTAAAACAGGTGTGCTCACCAGGGATCATCCTCCCCTCAAGGATAAACCTCTGTGTGTGTGTCTGTGTGTGTGTGTGTGCATGTGTATGATGAGGGAGGGTTGTCATCTGATTAGGGAGTGCTTCTGATTATCAGGCTATGGCAGGATCCAGCCCAAGCACCACTCAATGAAGACAAGTTCTGTCCAAAGACCTGTAGCATCTCTTTTGAGAAACACTATAGCAAATTATGATGCTATACAGAGTTACAAGGATATGTTCTAATCCACATTACTATTATATCTAAGCATTTTCCCAAAGAATAAACACTCATTCGTTAATAAACTCTGCTACCCATAAGACTTTGTGGACATTTCTCTTCCTTCAATCAATCAAGCAAACAACCAAAACTGTCTCCTCTGTTCAGTTCACCTAACAAGACTATGAAGCAGACAGCCAACGCAGGTTAGAAGAGCAAGGCAAGGTTGAGAGGGGTTAAACATTCCAAGGTCTTGATCATTTTAACTATGTCATGATGCCTCATAGGACAGGATACTTTCTTTCCACTTTTCCCCCCAACACCTTCTACAACAAGGGAAAAGCAAGGTGTTTGGTGGTGACCCGGAATGGGCGAGAGGCAGCAAGTCATCTCAGATCCATGACTGATTAAAACATTGAATGTATGACAACAAAGATTAGGATTCTTGATTGCAGTGGTACAAGATTCCTGGACTTCCAGAGCCTGCGTCCAGGGTTTCTGAAGGCCAGAAGGACCCTCCCTGGTTCAGTCCTCATCTTACGGGTCATGGAATTGATGCTCCGAGTGCGAACATCCAGCAGCTTCCGAAGCCAGCATGGGCCTCCTGGTGGGGCTGAACTATTCCTGCTTTATTCCCTGCACCACACTCACCTCTTTCCTGCTCACTCCCCTCCCACAGCCTCCCGCCTCCTCACACCCACTCACTCTCCTCAGTGAGCATTCCCCAGCCAGTTATCCAACAGGATGTGAGACTGGACAGCTGCACATCTGGGGCTGGGAGGCAGACAGGGACAATGGAGGAGGTGAAGTTCACAGGCAGGTGCAGCTGCAACATTGCAATGTCACTCCCAAACGAGTGAAGCTTCTCAAAGTCTGGGTGCATGAGGATCCTGCTCACGGACATCTTCTGGGTGTGCTGGGTTTGCTGGTACAGCTGGGTGTTTCCCAACAGAATCTTATAGTCCCCAAGAGCCTTCGATTTGCTGGAGGAGGAAGGCCATCATCACCATCATCTCCGAGTTTGGGTCCAGCATGCTCTTTCTGCACCTTCTCACCGCCCACACCTCTATGTGTCCCTGTACCCCACCATTACACTAAGCAGCTTGTGTCTCCTTTCATAGCTGTCAGGAGCTTTCTTTCTCAGGCTCAATGGATTGTTTTTAAATTTTTTTTTTATTTACCCGAAAGTCAGAGCCACAGAGAGGGAGAGACAGAGAGATCCTCCACCCACTGGTTCACTCCCCAAGTGGTCCAACAGCCAGGGCTGAACCAGGCTGAAGCCAGGAGCTAGGAACCTCATCCAGGTCTCCCATGTAGGTGGTAGGGGCCCAAGCACTTGGGCCACCCTCTGCTGCCTTCCCCAGGCCCCTAGCAGGGAGCTGAATTGGACGTGAAGCAGCCGGGACACAAACCAGCTCCCATACAGGATGCTGGAGTTGCAGGCAGCAGCTTTACCTGCTGTGCCACAGCACCAGCCCCCTGATGGATGCATTACAATCTCAGCACATAAGGTTTCCCACCAACACTCTAAAATCAGGGGAGTATACAATGCAGGCGCTGGAAGGGGCCTTCACAGGTTCATCAAATCAAGCCCTTTTATTTTATACACAGTAGCTCTGCCCCAACCCCCACTCCAGGGTGGCCCTTCCAAAGCTCCCTAACACCCACCTGCTGGCCAACCCTTCCTGCCCCCTGCCAGAGCTACTTCTCCACTTGGAGGTAAAGACTCATGTAGGATTTGTGAAATGTGCAGAGCATGAAGGCTGCTCTCCTTGCTCCTCAACATACGGATGAACCACGCCACTGGGGTGGCTTTGTTCTCACAGCTCGTCCACCTGGAAGGCTCCCTCACACTCCACACACCCAGCCCTTCCTTCTGGCAGCCCTGCAGACCCTCAGCCCTCCCCCAGAGTCCGTGGCTTGGGCTGGGATGTCCCCATCCCCCTGGATCCCTCCATATCTGTCTAGAATCAGAGCAGAGTCAGGCAAAAATCAGGCTCCCCACTGTCCACACTGTTCTCCAGGTCAGGGAGGCCCACACCTCCCAATCGTGCATCCTGGCACACGGGGACAGTGGAACCCATGTCACCTCCCAGGCACTCAGTTCATAGAAGTGACAAAAGAATGGCCCAGCTGCAGGCTTTCCGTGGCTGCTGCCTTGAGCGTGACCCACAAGGGTGTAGGCGATGGTAAGGAAATGCTCTGGACTTCTGATGGCCAAGACGAGCATGGCCACTGCTCTGAGGGCCCACATGGGTTGGGAACAGACACAGGGGCTGGGGTTTCTGCTGGAGATGAGCACAACGGATGAGCGGGAGGCTCATGGAGGGGGCGGTGGGGAGAAGAGAGCAGAGGGAACTGTGGGTCAGAGGCCGACACAGTGCAGGTTGTTTGGCATCTGGCTGCTCAGAAACAAGGCATTGTGGCATAGGGATTAAGCCAGAGACTGTGACGTGGGCATCCAGATGGGCACCAGCTCAAGTCTCGCCTGCTCCACTTCTGATCCAGCTCCCTGCTAAGGCACCTGGAAAAGCAATGGAAGTTGGCCCAAGTGTGTGGTCCCCCGCACCCCCATGGGAGACCTGGATGAAGCTGCTGGATCCTGGCTTTGGCCTGGCCCAGTCCCAGGGTTTACAGCCATTTGGGAGTGAACCAGTGGACAGAAGATCTCTCTGTGTCTCTCCCTCTCTAACCCTGCCTTCCAAATAAATATATACTTTTAAAAGAGAACAAAGCTCAGAGGACAAAGGTATGGGACCCCTGCCCGTGCTCTCCTCCCCCTCTTTCTTCTCCCTCCCCTTGGGGCCCCATGGAGGAGGACTCACTTCAGGAAGCAGTGGGCAGCAGAAAGCAGCCAGCGGCTATCAATGAGGACGGCTCCGCAGAGGTGCACGCTGTGGTAGAGCAGGCTGGCCTGCCATGGCCACCGGGCAGCCGCCGCGTCTTGGCCACCATACAGCTTTCCTGCCATCTTGTGTTTCCCACACACTGCAGAGACACCCCACCCCCACCCCCCATTAGAGACACTGGACTGCTCATGAATGCCACTCTCCAGAGGCGACCTCTCCCCAGTTTCACAGGTGGAAAGACCATGGCCGGCAACAACTTCCGTAACCAAAATGACCGAGGGCTGCCGCCACCTCCACACTCGGGGGTGCTGTCAGAGACCAGGTGGCCCAGGCGCTGAGCAAGCTCTGTGGGAATGAGGACCCAGGGGCACGGGGATGCTGGGGCAAGAGTAAAAGTGCAGCCACAGCAGTCCCTGCTTAGAGGTCTGCAAGGGCTGCTGGGCTGGGGGTCGGGCCCAGGACTTCACTCCCTCCATGCTTCCTTTGAAGGTCACACACACAGTGAAGGCCTCACAGGCTGTGAGCCATACTGGCTCAAGACCACGGCTTCTCAGCTGCTGTTCCCCCTCCATCCTGCCCCAGCATCCCAGGAAGGCAGGCCTGCAAGCAGGAGTCTGTGATGCCCAGTGACCTGGGGAAAGTGGCTCTACTTCTCTGAACCCACAAGGCTAAATGGATGGCCTGGGGCTAGTGGGGAAACACTTTGCTCAGATGTTCACACCAGGGAGGGGAGCCGTGCGCCAGACCCCTCAGTGGCCATGCCCTTCTCCCTGGTCTCTGCTGTCCAGGCCTCAGTGGGGACACAGGGGACCCCTGGGCCCACCTCCTCAGGGCCCTGAGTAGCCCTCTGGGAGCTTTCTCTCCACCCACCCCAGGGCCAGGTCTCGGCCATTTTTCCAGTTCTGGGGTTCCACCCCGGGTATCGGGGGCCTCCCATCCAAGAAAGGTCTCCTCCAGAGTGGGGAGCCCGACTCACCTCTGCTGATGTCATCTCGGGGACTACCTGTTTGGGAGGGGCCAGAGCGGACATTTCGGGTGTCCTCTGGTGCTGGCTCCGCCCCCCAGGCTTCAAACGGACCTTGGGCCCCGCCCACAGAGCCCTGGGGCCCACCGGCTGCCAACTCCCCACCGTTCTCTGTCCCTTGGCTTCCCCTTGTAGTATCTGAAGCCCGTGGGAGGCCAGGGGCCCCCGGCTGCCGGGTAGCAGCGGCCTTGGCGCTCAGGAGAGGCAGCGGAAGCAGCAACAGCAGCAGTGACCAGAGCAGGGACCCTGGTCGCCTTCGGGAGCGCGCAGCTCCTGCGTCTGTCCTGGATGCCATGCCGGGACATGGAGGGTGGTGAGCAGGGCCTGACCCCACTGTGACCCCGCCATGACCCCGATCCCGGGGAGGACCTCAGCCCACCCTGACCTCAGCGCTGCATAGGCCCTGACCCTAGCCTGAGACCAGGACGGTCCTGAAGGTTACTGAGGGAAGCCCTGACCTCATGTCCAGACAGACCCTAACCCCAGGCCCTGAGCCCTCCCATGCCCAGACTCCAACCCAATCCCATCAAATCCCAAATATTTTAGAGTGTAGAAGACACTCCGTCTTTTTCGAATGCGTGGTTTCTCCACAGAGTGGCGGGAAGGGAGAAGAATCAAGTTTCATGGGCATGCTCCTAGATGCTACCCCAGATGCGATGTCCTGAATTATTTCTTTAGGAGTGAGAGTCTGTCATTTTACAGTCACTCCTCATCACTAGACTGGCAACTTCAGTCTGCAGGGAAAGGAAGGTGTTCACCTGAGTTAAGGGAACTGACTGCACACCCGAAACACTAGAATGTCAATTTAATCATCACTGTTGTTATTAACGACACTGGGGGTCACACAGCCTTACTTCTTCTTTAAGAATTTATAGCTCAAAACTTTTAAAAATTGTTCTGAGAGTGGCAAACTTTACCAGCATTAATAAGAATTTATATTTTGGATATAAATCCAAAAGACACGGATCAAAGAGATGCCTGATCCACCATGCTTACAGCAGCACTGCTCACAATTGCCAGGATATGAAATCAACCAAGGTGTCCATCATCAGATAAATGGATAAATATGGAGACTGGAAGAAGAACTGATAAATATTGTAAAAAGAGTCATAAGATTGGCCGTGAAGCTTAGGTGAATACAATGAGGGCCATAATAAATGAATTCAGATTGTGATCTCTATGAAGGCTCTACTGAGATTTCTACAATAGGCATATGATAACACTAATTTTGACTCCGTGAAGCGGATCCCTGAGGGAGATACAGATTTGAATAGTTTAGGGATTTAGGTGAGGAAAGAGCCATGGAGTGGATAAAAAATCAAAAGAAAGCATGTTAAAGAAAATTAGAGATCATAATAAAGGTATTAAATAAGAAAAAGGAGCCCATAAGATACTGAGGACTGCCAGAAATAAATTTAAACCATAAAGAGATTAAACCAGGTAACCATATAAGATTTCTTGTTAACATCTTAAAACCATTAGTTGTGGGGCCAGCACTATGGCGTAGCAGGTAAAGCCACCGTCTGCAGTGCTGGCATCCCATAATGGCGCTGGTTCTAGTCCTGGCTGCTCCTCTTCTGATCCAGCTCTCTGCCCTGGCCTGAGAAAGCAGTGGAAGATGCCCCAAGTGCTTGGGCCCCCTGCACCCACGTGGGAGACTGGGAAGAGGCTCCTGGCTCCCTGTTCGGATTGGCCCAGCCAACTGGGGATGGAAGACTTCCCTCCCTGCCTCCCTCCCTCTCTCTCTCTCTCTCTCTGTCTGCCTCTCTCTAAACTCTGCCTTTCAAATAAATAAATAAATTTTTTTAAAAAAAGCAGTATTGGCATCTTCTTTACAGGCCATAAAATTCATTCATCACAAGTGAGCAAGTTAATGATTATATTAAGTTTACAGAATTGTGTAAGAGTCATCAAATTTGCAGTTAATCTCCCCTCTTTACCTTACCCCTAGATAACCCAGATGGATCTCCTTCATATCTCTCTGAATTTGTGTTTTCTGAACATTTCATATGAATAGAAACATGCAGTACATAGGTTTGCATGTCTGGATTATTCCATAATGTTTTTTGAAGTTCATATATACTGTCTCACATGGCATTATTTTAAGCCCTCTTATTCCATTGCAAGATTGTGACTCAGTTTTTGAGTTTTTGTATTCTAGGATGTTTCACATTTTGTCTATATTTACCAGTTGATGGATATGTATTTTTGTAGTTTGATTATTATGAACAATGCTGATATAAATATTTTTGTACAAGTCTCTGTGAACATAGAAGTATGTTTTTATTTCTCTTAGGGAGAGTCCTGGAACTGAAACTAATGGATCATATGCTAAGTATATGATTAACATTTTGTAAATTTCCAAACTATTTTCCAAATAGTGTATCACTGTACATTTCCACGACCATGTACAAAGATTCCACTTTTTTACACTCCTTCCTAATATTGGTGTAATCTCTTAGATTTCTTCTAAAAACTAAAAATAGTCCTGCCATATGACCCAGCAATCCCACAACTGGGTATATATCCAAAATACATGAAATCACTGACTCAAAGTGATGCCTGATCTACCATGCTTATAGCAGCACTGTTCACAATTGCCAGAATACAGAATCAACCAAGGTGCCCATCATCAGATAAATGGATAAAGAAAATGTAATACACATATATTATATATGTATATTGGAATATATATATATATATATATTGGAATACTATTCAACCATTAAAAAGATTGAAATCCTGTCATTTGCAGGAAAATTGGTAGAACTGCAGGACATCATGTTGAATGAAATAAAGATAAAAAGGTAAATATTTATGTTCTCTCTCATGTGAGGAAGCTAAGAAAACTCAATCCAAGCACAGAATATTGATTGCCAGCGCCGCGGTTCACTAGGCTAATCCTCCGCCTTGCAGCGCCGGCACTCTGGGTTCTAGTCCTGGTTGGGGCGCCGGATTCTGTCCCGGTTGCCCCTCTTCCAGGCCAGCTCTCTGCTGTGGCCAGGGAGTGCAGTGGAGGATGGCCCAAGTGCTTGGGCCCTGCACCCCATGGGAGACCAGGATAAGTACCTGGCTCCTGCCATCAGATCAGCATGGTGCGCCGGCCACAGTGGCCATTGGAGGGTGAACCAACAGCAAAGGAAGACCTTTTTCGCTCTCTCTTTCTCTCTCACTGTCCACTCTGCCTGTCAAAAAAAAAAAAAAGAATATTGATTACTAGAGTAGGAAGCACAGGAGGAATAAAAGGAGTTTCAATTTTAAAAAAATAGGGGATGTTGGGTGTAGTTCATTGATTGTGATAAATACACTAATATGAGATTTTAATAATAGGACAAGCGAGATGAGAGGCATATGGAGATTCTTTGTATTACTACTTCACAATTTTTGTTTTGTAAATTCAAAATTTTCTGAAAAAAAAATTCTCAAAAACCCATTGGCTATTAGCACATTTTTTTCTACAGTTTATCATTTTTTTCTTGTATGGATCCTACTTCTAATGTCATACCTAAGAAGTCACGAAGATTTTTTTGCCATGTTTTCTTTGAGAAGTTTTAAGGGATAGCTGCTAGGATTAGGTCTATAATCAATTTTAGTTAATTTTTGTATTATGGTATTTTTTTTATTTTATTTCTGAATATTCACCTGTCTCAGCACCATTTGTTGGTTATAAAAATAAAAGACTAGCCTTTCTGCCACTGAATTATTGGAATATTTGTTGAAAATCAATCAACAACAACATGTAAGGAATTATATCTGAACTTCCGGTACTGTCCCATTGAATTATATGTCTATCCATGTGTTAGAAACCTAAAATCTGGACAAACAGTAAATTTTGAAATAAGGTAGTGAAAGTTCCCCATCTGTACTCTTTTCAAAACTTTTTAGGTTGTTTTAGGTCCATAACTTTTTTTGTAAACTTCAGAATCAGCATGTCAATTTCTATCCCAAAACTGCTGGGACTTTGACAGGTTATGAACTGGATTTATAGATTAATTTGAGAAGAATTTCCATCAGTAATATCAAGTCACTAATCCATGTACAAGGAAGATTTCCCCATTTATTGATCTCTAATTTTTATCAGGTACATTTTTAAATTTTCAGTGAACAAATTTTGAATTTTGCTTACATTGATTTCTTTTTTTTTTAATCTTTTATTTAATGAATATAAATTTCCAAAGTACGACTCATGGGTTACAATGGCTTCCCCCCCCATACCGTCCCTCCCACCAACAACCCTCCCCTTTCCCACTCCCTCTCCCCTTCGATTCACATCAAGATTCATTTTCGATTATCTTAATATACAGAAGATCAGCTTAGTATACCTTAAGTAAGTATTTCAACAGTTTGCTCCCACACAGAAACATAAAGTGAAAAATAATAGATGATTTTTTAAATGATGATGAAATCAGATCAGACCTATTGTCATGTTTAATCCCAGTGAGAGTCAAGTTGGGAATTGAAAATTTCTTTCTTTTTTTTTTTTTTTTTTACAGAAGATCAGTTTAGTGTACATTAAGTAAAGATTTCAGTCGTTTGCACCCCCATAGAAACACAAAGTGAAATATACTGTTTGAGTACTCGTTATAGCATTAAGCCTCAGTGTACAGCACGTTAAGGACCGAGATCCTACATGAGGAGTAAGTGCACAGTGACTCCTGTTGTTGACTTTACCAATTGACACTCCTGTTTATGGCATCAGTAATCTCCCTATGCACCAGTTATGAGTTTCCAAGGCTATGGAAGCCCCTTGAGTTCTCCGACTCTTATCTTGTTTAGACACGGTCATAGTCAAAGTGGAGGTTCTCTCCTCCCTTCAGAGAAAGGCACCTCCCTCTTTGAAGACCTGTTCTTTCCACTGGGATCTCACTCACAGAGATCTTTTTGCCAGAGTGTCTTGGCTTTCCATGCCTGAAATACTCTCATGGGCTTTTCAGCCAGATCCGAGTGCCTTTAGGGCTGATTCTGAGGCCAGAGTGCTATTTAGGACATCTGCCATTCTATGAGTCTGCTGAGTATCTCACTTCCCATGTTGGATCACTCTCCCCTTTATTTATTCTATCGGTTGGTGTTAGCAGATACTAGACTTGTTTATGTGCTCCCTTTGACTCTTAGTCCTTTCATTATGATCAATTGTGAACTGAAATTGATCACTTGGAGTAGTGAGATGGCATTGGCACATGCCACCTTGATGGGATTGAATTGGAATCCCCTGGTATGTTTCCAACTCTACCAATTGGGGCAAGTCAGCCCGAGCATGTCCCAAATTATACATCTCTTCCCTCTCTTATTCCCACTCTTATGTTTAACAGGGATCACATTTCGGTTAATTTTCAACACTTAAGAATAACTGTGTGATAATTACAGAATTAAACCAGTCATATTAAGTAGAACAGACAAAAAAAAATACTATGAGGGATAATGTATTAAGTTGTCCATTAGCAGTCAGAGCTATGCTGATCAAGTCACCATTTCTCATAGTGTCCATACATTGATTTCTAAATACTTGACATTTTTCGTTCTATTGTGAACAAAATTATCTTCGTTGATTTTATTTTTTAGATTTATTTATATTATGTGAAAGGCAGTGTGACAGACAGAGGGAGAGACAGAGAAACAGAATGATCTTTCATCACCTGAGTCAACCCCCAAAGTCCCACACAGCCAGAGGTCGGCCAGGCCAAAGCCAGGAGCCAGGAACTACATCTGGGTGTCCTATATGGGTGGCAGGAACCCATGTGAGCCATCATCCACTGTCTCCCAGGTGCATTAGCAGGAAACTGGGTCAAAAGCAGCAAGTAGCCAGGACTTGAACTGGGTATTCCAATATGGGATGTGGTCATCCCAGGTGGCAGCTTAGCCTGCTTACAATGTAATGCACCCCCTGTTAATTTTATTTTCATTTCTTTGACTGCTAGTACACAGAAATATAATTGATTTTTGCATGTAATATTTTTCCCATGACCTTGATAAACTTTGTTTATGAGTTCTACTCTTATTTGGTGGGTTCATTCTGATTTTTCTACATATAGGATCATGTTCTTTTTTTCTTTTTAAGTCTTTTTATTAGCATATATATCAACTTGATATTTTCACTGAGTTTGGTGATCGTACAAAATTAAGTTCATTCAAACCAATTTAAATATCTTAAATGTGGCTTATTTTAGGAAAAGCAAAAGAAAGTATACAATCTTTGGAGATCAATAAAAGAGGAAGAAAGATAATTAATTTTTAAGAACTTATTTGCGGGGGTGGAGCCAAGATGTCGGAATAGTGAGGGCGCACACCGATAGTCCGGGAAAATTTAGTTTAATAAAAGGGGAGTTACGGTAGCCTCAGAAAAAAGAACCAGGAAAATATTGCAGAGGAAACTCTTCTGGATCGAGTGGCTGTGAATCGGAGGACCTACTGGGAGAACAAGGTCACCCACTGCGTGGAAGCCGAGCCGCGGGACCGAGCCGCGGAAGCCGCAGGGTCTGCGCGCCAGTGCTCGAAGGGGAGTGCATGCCACACAGACAACAGCGGGGAGACTTGGGACGTCCAGGGCTCCGAGTCCACACATTGGCGCTGGAAGGGTGTGGGGAGCAAACCGGACTAGACTGAGTTACTGGAATTAAGACTTATTCTATGCATCTGCTCTCCCACAATATGGCGTTGGGAGAGAAGTAAACAGCTTCCGCACAGCTGCCTCCAGTTCAACTAATAAACTGTAGGACTTGCTCCTGATTGGAGGAGAGCAGCGTACTCGGCATGTGGCGAGCAGCGTACTCGGCGAGTTGGGATTGGCGGAGGAGGACTATAAAGGAGGAGAGAGACGGTATGCACCAGGAACATCTAAGGGGAACATCTAGCTGAAGGAACACCCGTGCAGCCCCCGAGAAAGCCGGCCGGCGGTGTGCCGCTCCCCTGCGGAAGTGGGGAATGTGGCTAGGGGGAACTGCCCTTCCATGGAGGTGGAAGGGATAGTAGCCAACCCGGGAAGAACCAGCAGCAAACCCGGGGAGGGCCGAGCAGACAGAAAGAACAGCGCAGGGTTCAGTGTCGTTCCTCCACGAAGAGGGGGAGCGACATAATGGTGCCGTGACTCGGATATGAAGCCTAGGCAGGGTTTAGTGTCGTTCCTCCGTGAAGAGGGGGAGCGACATAATGGTGCCGTGACTCGGATAAGAAGCATAGGCAGGGTTCAGTGTCGTTCCTCCACGAAGAGGGGGAGCGACATAATGGTGCCGTGACTCGGATAGCAAACTTAGGAGGGAAGAAATGACTCGGATAGGAAACCTAGGGCGGATAGGAAACTTAGGAGGGAAGAAATGACTCGGATTAGGAAACCTAGGTCGGATAGCAAACTTAAGAGGGAAGAAACGGGAAGAACTGGGAAAATACCGGAGAGAGAGACTAGCAAACAGCCTAGGGAAAAGCCGGATGAAAAGGGTGCCGGAAGAAGCTATTGAAAGCCTAGGCATAGATTCGGATACAGACTACGGGGGGAAGCTGGGAGAAATCTCTAAGGTCGAAAGCGAAAGTGAAAGCTAGAACAAACAGACTCGGATGCGGACTGTGGGGAGAGGCCAGGAGAAATGAGGGAGGAGTATTGTTGGAGGAAAGCTTGGGGAAACATACCGGGTGGAGAAAAATGTTAGGGAAATTGAAGCCGCGGGGGGCAGGCCGAGGCGGACACGAAAGCCACTTTGGGATTCT